ATAATCTGAAGACACTAGTGTCTCGGCGCTAAGGCACGCGCAGTGATATACTTACAACAAATTAAATGAGAAGAATGAAATAATAAAACAGTGAGAGTTAAAAATTAAATTGCAAATATATTTAATAAAGTCTAATTTAATAAGCAAATACTGAGGAAATAGAGAAAAAAAAATATTTTTTTATCTGAAATTTTGAATGGTGAATTTCGTGTTATCCATCTTGTCTCACATGAAGACATCACACCATTGTTGCAAGACTTATATTCCACATATTTAGTGGGAACTAGAAACAAAATCGTTCATTATGGAAAAAGGTACAGTACCGATAAAAATTATATCTTTTGATTTTTTAAGCATAATTTTTTTTAAATTGACAGGTCTCTATCAAATTGTAATATATTTTAATAATAGATATAGTTTATTGAATAAATAACTTTTCACATCAAATAAGAAAAACAACTTGTGAAAAATTAATTTAAAATCTCTAAAATATGTCAAATTTCATATTAAATTTTTAATTACCATAACGAAAATGTCTTCAAAACGAACAAAAAATTCATAATTTAGATTGTACAATTCTAATATTTTGAAGCAAAACTCTTGAAGCAAAACATCGATTACAGCTTGGCAGCGTCTAGGCATGGAATCGATAAGTGTGTCAATTGTCGACTGACAGATCTTCTTCCACTCTTCCTCCAATTGGGCGAATTTTTCGGCCGTATTTGTAGCTCGCTTACTGGCTAAACGTCTCTGGAGTTTATCCCATAACGGTTCGATGATATTTAGGTCGGGCGATTGGCTTAGCCAAACTCTAGAAGAGTTATTCGATGTTGCCGAAATCACTTCCGCACTTTAGCCGCGCGATGCTTTAGATCATTGTTTTGCTGATATATAAAGCCACGACCAAGGAAACGCTTACGGAAGCATCACATTCTTGAGGATGTCTATGTATATTTTTTGATCCATTTTGCCGTCGATCTTATGGAGGGGACCCATTCTCTTTGCAGAGAAAGCACCCCATGACCGAATCATCTCCGTGTTTCATTGTAGGAAGTTGGTACTTGGGGTCGAAGCGCTTGCTTTTAACGAACCATGTTATTCCGTCAGTATCAAATAACAAAAACTTACTTTCGTCGCTCCAGACGACAAAGAATCACTGCTGAGGTGTCCAATTAAGATGAGCTTTCGCCTATTCTACTCGCATCTTTTGATTCTTGGTGGAAATAAATGGCTTCTTTACGGGTCGTTGTCCATATAGTCCTGCGACCTGCAGACGATAACATATAGTCCGTGTGGTTGGAATCAGATTCACCAAAAATTAATATTTCTTTGGCAATATCTGATGCTGTGAAACGTGGATTGCTGCGGAATATGCAGAGAATGTTGCGATTAATGACAGAAGAAGTACGCGGTCGCTCGGTTTTCTTCTTCTTGACATAACCTCCCTGGGCCTTCTAACGCTTCAGCAATTTGGTTACCGCCGATTTAGAATGCCAAACTGTGCTAGCTTTTCGTGCGTTGATCCTTGTTTGCGACCTTCTATGATAGCATTCTGCTGTCGTTCGTCTATATTTTGAGCATCATGGGTTTTTACCATAATGTGCAACACTAAATTTACTACCAAAATTAGGTTAAGATTATAAGAACAATGGCTGCGACATGAAAAACAAAGAAGGTACAAAAGTGTGATTTTGCCAAAATCAATAAAAAATTCAAAAATCATGGCGTAACATTATCAAATTTCATTACACTTCATCTACCAAAGTGCATCTACCATCAGATATCTACTGTAAAATTTTGAACGTATTTGATACTCTTTGACGAAAATTATACTCAATAAACTAAAAGGTGATATAATTTTAGCCGGTACTGTATATGATGTGTAATTAAATAAAGATTGGCTTATAAATATTTTAATTATATTAAATAAATCATATTAAATAAAAAATTGTACATTGATGCCTGAATTTCTTCACCTCTAGATAACTTTATCCAAGAGATATCTCCCAGAATACATTAGAAATATCTCCTGAATAAGATTATCTGCAACTCTGGAAGTGAAATTTCTCAGAAATACAATGTTGACATTAGTGTGCAATTTTGTTTAATATAATTAAAATATTCAAACCTTTATTTAATTATGTACAACATACTTTTTCATATTCTGTTCCTTATAGGGATACCGGAGAAGTATTCGATATCCGACAATGTATATAAATTGAAATTTTTTATATCGAAAGTTCTTGTCATTGATACAGAATTCTATTCTTTTCAGCTGAATCTCTTGCACGGTTTATTTTTTCTCTTTTTTTCTTTTTATATTAGAGATCCGAGAAAAATTTTTACAGTCATATATAAATATATATTATTACTTGTCAAATACAATAAAGAAAACCAAGAACGGTCTTTGGATGTTTCAAATAATACGTTATATATTCTTATATTAAAATAATTTATTTCAGATATGATTGAGAGCCGAAAATCTTTCGGTTTCAACACAATCATTCTGAAACCCTAATAAACCCCCTAAATTAAATTAGAATAGACAGAAAGAAAGTAAGAAACTTATTGCAAAAAAATATCCTGGCTAATTTTTCACATCAGAATGATTGTGTTGAAACCGAAAATTTTTCGACTCTCAATCGTATCTGAAATAAATTAATTTAATATAAGAATATATAACGTATTGTTTGAAACATCTATTGGGAGTACAAATTAGTTCGATTAATTTTCCAAAAGCTGGCTCCGGCTGTTGTGAATGGTTCATAGTGACAACTGATTTTGGCGTTTTCAGAGAGGTTAGACATCTGCTAATAATATTCAGTTTATATCGCTTTGAGTTTCATACAAAAACCTTGATTTTTACTGTGTTTGAGATGTCGAATTTTGTGGTAACCAAGCAGCATTTGCGGGAGGTTCTAATTTTTTGCTTTAATTGGAAGAAAAGTGTAGCTGAAGCCCATCGAATGCTTGTTGAAGTTTATGGTGACACTGCTCCAACTGATAAATCATGTAGGGAATGGTTTCGATGTTTCAAGGATGGAGATTTCAGCGTTGAAGACAAGCCTCGCTCTGGACAGCCAAAAAAAATTCGAAGACAAAGAATTAGAGGCATTACTCGAAGAAGATCAGAGTCAAATGCAAGAGGAGTTTGCAGAATCATTGGGATAACTCAACAAGCCGTTTCTGCACGATTGAGAACCATGGGAATAATTCAAAAACAAGGAAATTGGGTGCCTTATGAACTGAAACCGAGAGACGTTGAAAGGCGATTTTTCACTTGCGAACAGCTGATTCAAAGCAACAAAGAAAAGATTTTTTGCATCGGATTGTGACTGGAGATGAGAAGTGAATATTCTACGACAACCCCAAGAAGAAAAAATATTACGCTAAGTCAATCGTTGCCATCGACCTCAACATCAACACCAAAGCCGAACATTCATGGTTCGAAGATCATGCTCTGTATTTGGTGGGACCAAAAGGGTGTTGTTTACTATGAGCTGCTGAAACCTGGCGATTCCATTACGGGCGATCGGTATCGACTACAATTGATTTGTTTGAGTCGTGCATTGTGAGAAAAACGGCCGGAATATGAGCAAAGACATGATAAAGTTATTTTTCTTCATGACAACGCTCGGCCTCATGTCGCTAAAGTCGTAAAAAAATATTTGGAAACGCTCAAATGGGATGTTTTACCGCACCCGCCGTATTCTCCGGATATTGCTCCTTCTGATTACTTGTTGTTCCGAAGGATGCAGCACAATTTGGCAAGTCATCGATTCACTTTTTTCGCAGAAATCGAAAATTGGCTCCAAAATTGGATCGCCTCCAAAGGCGAGTCATTTTTTCGAGATGGAATTCGAAAATTGCTTGAGAGATGGGGAAAAGTAGTAGCCAGCGATGGACAATAATTAACTGGACTTTAATTTACTTAATTAATCTGTTCATTCATTTTGTTTTGAAATAAATGCATTTTTGAACACAAAAAAATGAACCGAACTAATTTGTACTCCTAATAAATTTGACCGTTCTTGGCTTTCTTTATCATATTTGATGTATTCACACATACGTTCGTAATAAAATTCTTAAATTATTATATATATCTCGTATATCATTATATATGAAATTATACATGATCACATCATATATGATCACATAATTTCATACATGATCATGTATACGATGTATACGATCATATATAGCTATTAAACTGATTTGTCATATCGTATATCCACTAACATTCAATGTTTGTGGATTATCGAAGTATCCCGTAAAATCACAAAAGTCAAGCAACGTTAATCAAAGTACAGCTTAGGATGGGCGATTAAAATAAATAAATACAAAATAATCATGCGTAGCGAAATATATGAATAGCGAGGTATTCGAGAGTTACGAATTTTCGAAATAACTACATTTCATTGCGATGGACGGAGCATATTTACATACCGCATACAAAATATTCTACATATTTACAAAAATAGCGATTACAACAATTATATTTAGAAAATTTTATATATATATATATATAGTCGAAATACGTTATAATTAACACTTTAATTCATTTTTATAATTTTTAAAATGAATTATAATTGTTGAATTATAATTGTCCACAGTTATTCATAATTTGTCTTATGATTGGAAAATGCAGCAAAACGTTTGTAATGTTACATCACTTTGCTGCATGTAAGTAGAAGATTAAGATATATAAATATATATTTATGTAATCGCTAATACTATATGTATAATACATTGAAAGAACAGTTTTGATAAAGTATTTAAAAATTTAGCTAGATTTTGAAATTTGAAAATAATTTTGTTGAACTCCTGAAATAATTTGGAATAATTTTATAATTATTTCAGGAGTTCAACAAAATTATTTTCAAATTTCAAAATCTAACTAAATTTTTAAATACTTTAGTAAAACCTTTCCTTCTATATAATGTTTCAAAACGTGTCAGATTCTCCCAAAATACTGATATAATTGATATAATATTCGCAACTATAAAATAATAATAACCTTTATTGCATTCTCATATGTAGCAATTACAACATAAATTTCACAAATTCGCTCTATTATCGATATACTCGTCGTCGTCGTCTGCGAACTTGATGCCGTCCTCATTTTCACGGATCAGATCGTAGAAGGAGTCGCGCGATTCGGTCTTTATGTCGCTCTCAACTCCGTAATCAGGACTTTGAATCTCCTTCTTGGACAAACTGATGTTTAAGTTGTCCGTCGTTAGTCTCCGTGCTGTCGCTGGTGAATTCAGTCGCGATCCCGAGAACTCGATCATAGGAATATTAGTACAATCCGAGAGTTTATTGGTCTCACGTGGTTGCGTAAATTGCGTGAAGTCTCGATACTTGCACGAGCCGCTCGTGCTTATGTTTAAATTTGTCGTTAAAACGATGTCCGTGGAATCGTTAGCACTCTGAAGAACCCTGTCTTTGCCGTTTATGTATCCCTGAGTCTTCGAGCTCATTGATTTGCCAGACAGTTTGGATGTATTTTCATTTTTTAAGCAATGATTCTTCTTGTCATTCTGAGAAATGTCCTTTGTTTTTTGATTCACATAAGACTTTGAGGTACCATAATGAAGGACTGCCTCTTCGGGATACCTTTTGAAAATTTGTTTCGATTTCTCCTCTGACTTGACTACAACGCAATCGGTAATATTTACATGACTATCCTGTGGACCGCTTTTCAAAACGTTCTGTTCCTGAGAGAGATCAGTGCTGTGAAGGCGATTGGGAATGCTGCATTGTGTCCTGTCGATTGCAAGTTGACTGCATAGAGACTCCTCGCTGACCCGAGTCCTGGAGTCCTCCAGGATCCGGTGAATTGGCAGCAGGCGTTCGTTCAGTCTGGCAGTTCTGCTTTCGCTGATGCTATCTTCGGACAGAACGCTACCGCCTGACGACGAATCGTTCTTCGACGACGACGAGGACGTCGAGTCCTGGCGTTGCTGCTCAAGACTCGGTCTAGTTTCCTCGACACTAGACGCGATCTGATGTCGCATACGTCGATACTCGGCCGGGGTCAGGGTCGCGCCCTCGGTGCTCTCCGGCAGTCGGTACAATGCCGGACTCGTCGTGCCTTGAAAACAATCCGGACGATCCGCAGATGGACCTTGAGAATCCTCAGACATCGACAACGGAGGTATCCATAGGAGAAAAGCTGGATCCATACCTAAGTACGAGCCCGGCGCGGCGCCGGCATTCGCAACGTTGTAATCGTAATAGTCGAGCTCCATGTCCGTCTCCGGATTTGTCAGGCTGAACTCCGAACCCGGTCCTTGTAGTAGTCGCTCGCGATTTCGACGATCCTTCGTCTCTTTACCATTGCGGAGTGTGGATGTACCCGATAGTGGGCTGCTCGTCGATGAATCCTAATAACATTTTTCGATTTTCAAAATTAAATAACTTTTTGGCACTAACGCAAAATGTTTAATTAATGTTAAAAATTAAATTTACCTTTTCCTTAAATTTTCTCTGAATAACAATACGTGATTTATCTGACACATTTGAATAATTATTATAGATATTTTATCATATTTAGGTTTTTTATCATCTCGATTTATTTATCTCAATTTAATTAAAGTTAGGCATATTTATAAAATATCGCTGCGTTATCAGAATTAAAAGATTTAGAAGAAAATTTATTTCGTTTCTTGCTTTAACTTTCAGTTCTTTGTATGATTTTTTAAATGAAATATACATAATCAGATTAGATCTCTACCTTAGACTGCAAAGGATTAGACGTGTAACGATGAAGTCTTGCGATATGCGGGCTCTCGGTAATACTCGCTGAGCTTTGACATCTCGTGTTGCTCGACATCAATTTGTTCGCAGAACTAATAGATCCCAGAGTTCGTAATCTACAATGTGAATAATGTACAAGTTATTTTAAAGTTTATTTGATTATATATTGAGAGATTATATATTCACATAAAATATTATATAAAATTTCTCCATCGAGAGTAGTTATACTTACTTAGTAATTATACTTACTTGATTGGTTGGGCATATTTTATTTCTGGCTGACCAATTGCCATAATAGCCGATACTGTCACCGGTGGTTCATCGGTATGCAATTTATTCGGTATCACGCTTCTCTCTGTACAGCTTTCGTCGTCATCTCGAAACTTCAAGGTAGTCGAGCTCAAACTGGTTTCATCTTCATATCTGTTACATCAAAAATACCTTAAAACTGCTGTAGGTCGCAATAAATTCAATGAATCAATAATTCTTTCATAGAATGAATAATGCAAAATCATGTAATTCTGAGTATAACATTAAAATATAATATATAATATTAATATAATATATTAAATATTTAAATACGATTGAATTAAAGATCAGGAATCAATATATATCATATTTCAAAATATTAATATTAAATATTAAGCAATGAATTGTTACTTACTCCGCCAAAGTTTCCGAACTATCGTAACCATCCTCCATCGCACGAGGTGCTTTACGTTTCGACAGTCTTGGTGTGCATTTTTTTGGCAATCCCACTAGAGTAATTTTAATTGGAATATTAATATAACTTTACATTCATAGTTTTATAATTATTATAATTAATTTTATTTTATAAAATAATCGCTTGATATTAAATTTTTAATAATTAATAAATAATTATCTTTTAATACACAAAATTGTTAAATACTTACCAGAATGCTCACTCAAGGTATCTAAGTCCTCTGCGATATGGTACTTTCTATATTTCAGTGCAAATTGCAGTGCTAGAAAAATAGATATAAAGAATATAAGTATCAAAAGGGATGCTGTTGCTAGATGCGCGGGTCCCCAGAAGATCCATTGCTCAACAGTGAGAGTAGAATTCGTTTCCGAAGGGAGTGAAACCGACGTCTTGTTCTCATATAGTTTTTCTGAAAAAATAAATTATATAAATTAAACATATCTTGAATATAGTAAACAAACACGGAAACGATATAAATAAAAGTATATAATAATCATTTATTACGTAATTAAAACTTCACTTTATAATATCTACTACTAAATATTTAAAACATATTAAGATTTTGCTTTATTTTGCATAACACATGATAAATAATAAAATCATATTTTAGATCGTACATGTGAGAATACAATAAATCAATAATACAATGCGAACTAAAAATGCCTATATTGGTCGAAGCTAAATCTTTAATGCTTAAATAATTCGAATAATTCATATTATATATGTACATGCTTATATATCATATTTGTAGTCATTCGAACTGCGCGCCGAATTGGTGTTCCGGACTTATAAACGCAATTAAACTACTGTAATAATATCACAAATTAAATTAAATTGACAAGCAATTTCTGTAGTATATTATATAGTATATAATATAATACAAATAATAATAGCGTATATATATATATATATGTATATGTATATATATATTTTATATATATATATATATATATATATA